CAGGAAGTTTCGAGTTCCTCTATAGTAGCTAGGATCTTGCATGAGACTACCATGTGCCTCAGCTCTCTAATTCTCATATAAATAAAACACTGTCAAAAGAATATATTATAGAATTAAGTTCAAATGAAAATCATTATGCTCTTGATTATGAATTAAACTTAAAAAAAGTGCACTTATATTTCAAACAATATTTTACAGTCTTATCAAGTAACCTGTGCCATGACTACATCTTCAGAACACAATAGTTAAAATAAATATTTTAATACCCTGAATCTACTATTATTTGGTTAAATTAACCAAGATAATGTGTCAAATAATGAAGATGAGCATTTAATTTGCAAAGGGAGCCAAGCTAAAAGTAATGCAATTTATTCTTGCCTTAGAGAATGTTGAAGGAAGGGGGAAGAATTTAACCTTTTTATAACACTTGGAGTACAACGCAGAAACATCTTCCTAGGAGGTTTATCACTGACAGCTTCAATCCTGTATAATACGAAGCTTGCCTAGACTAATCTCATGACAGAACTGAGTGTGCTGTGACAGGATATTCTAACAATGCAGTTACAATTCTACCTGCACCAACTTTAAAAATGAAATTAAAAATTTTTAGACTAATGAGTCATGGATAAATATAGTTCTTACTTTAAGATTTTTTGTATGTAATTACTTGTTTCAAAATATATATGGCAAGTCTTATTTGTGAAAAAAATTAGCTTTCAAATCTAAAAGAGAGATTCTCCCTCACCTTTCTGTGAAGCTAAGTTTAATATCAGATCACAAATAAACAACCAACATAGGGGATATAACTGACTATTGTCAGCTATGAACTCAGAGGAAGGGAAAAAAATCAGGTAAAAATCCTATTATTTTCAAATCATTGAGTCCTGTAATCTTTCTTTACAACACAAAGCTCACTGCTGTCACACTTGCTGTATCTTGTGCCATTAAGGTCAGGTCAAACGGACAGCTAACCCTATGCTCAACAGTAGCCAAAAGCAGATATTTAGGAAGAGGTAATAAGAACTGAACAAGCAAACATGATGCTTCACCCAAGCATTTGCTGAGCCATTTGTAGCTCACAGACTTCCTTACCTGGGCTTGGTATCCACTACCCTCGCCATTGAAATGGCTTTCTCTTCCGTCAAGCTGCCCAGTTTCCCAATGAGATCATGTTGGTTACTTACATCCACAACACCCTATGGTGAAGTAATTCACCACTTAACTGCATAACGTCTAAAGAACAACCTTCTTCTGCTTAATGACAATTTTCCAGCTAGTAGGTTCATTTGATGCCACTCAGTTCATCTACTGGAAGGGGCAGTGAATTTTGTAATGTGAAGACAAAACAAAACTCATCTAGTTTCATAAGCTCTGATCTGTGTAAAATATGATAGGTTCTAACATTTTTTCCTTCTTCCTTTGTCCATAGAAAGATTGAAGCTCTTCTCAAAATGAGTGGGAAAAGCAAAGTCTTCACTGAGAGCAGTAAGAGATAAAACTTCTACCATTTTTCCTGAATTCACAAAAAACTGGGTGAAATTTAATGAGAAAATTAAGCTTAACTGGCACTTCTGCCCTTGAAAAGGCCATCTACTTTCTCTCCTAGTCCTCACTGTGCAGTGCTGCTTTCCCTTGTGCTGGCTCTGGTGCCCATCTCGCATCTCAGTGAGCTAAAACAGACAGAAAAGCCTCCACTCTTGAACTGGGAGATCAACTGTCAACTGGGAGAGCTGAGGGTTGAAAAGCACTCAAACTGGCTCAAGGAACAAGATTGCACAGCCAAGAATGGGGAGAAGGATTTGGACAACTTCTTTCAGCTATAGTGACCCAATTTATCAATTCACTTTGCACAAAAAATCTGAACCCAAATAGTAGTCATTACACAGATAGTAGCCTCTATGGCTTAAGGTAATGCTAGCTGTTTTTTCTGGCAGGCAACTATTCAAATGACTTAATCTGCACCACAACACACACTTATTTATACACTTTACATAAAAAATATTTTCTACTATTCAGTCAGACAGACCTGTCTCTAATGATGAATAAAACGTAGAAATAAAAACTAGCCTTAAAGTAACAACAAGCCATAATAAAAGCAATTACCTTGCTCACTGGCAAACAGAACATGCTGTTCAACCTCTAGTGCAGGTTCACATATACCAACAAAAGATAACAAGATGTATCCCCAGCGGCAGCTAAAACAGATTTCAAGTAAGTTCTCCCCAAATCTCACTGTTAGGTTCTTTAGTCCCAAGACTAATTCAAAATATTGTAACAATTCAAAATATTTTAACCAAAATTCTAGATACAAGTGCAGAGCAATCTCCAAGTGATGGCTGTCATTCCACAGTGAAAGCAAACAGAGATAAAATGTTGGGACCACATTGGTTTCATCTCTTTCAGAAAATGACTGAAAATTACTGATTAAATCTTAAGGCTGAAAAGCCACACTGAACAGCTGCTAGCCTACTGGTGCCTATCATTAGAGACACAACGTTTTTGTCTTCGCATAAATTTCATGCCAATGAATTCCAAATGATATTACTAGAAATACTTTCAAGTGATCAAGAGACTAAACTTTTTGGAATTAAAAAGCCTACTTCAGAACATGAAGAAGGATATAATGAGAAGAAAAGGATATAATAAGCAGAATGCAATGGCAATCTCTCAAGTTGTGAAGTTAGTTTGCATTGCAAACACCAAGAATGCATATGAGAAATGAACACAGTGTGGTTCCTAGCTTTGATTACAAGAATGCCATTTGAAATATTGTCAGAAGCATTACTAAAGTGAAGATTAATGGCATGTCCTACTTATCCTCTATCCACAAGTTTATTATCTCATAGAGAAAGATTATTCCACATACCGTCTGCTACTTAAACCCTTGTTTTCTTCTGAACTATAACTCATGGCCTGCAATTCAGCAACTCCTCCCACAGCACTGGAAAATAGAAACTGTTCTGTATTTTTTAATCTTCCACTTCCTTCCTTCCTTCACTGTCCTCTACCAGTTCTCATAAATACTAATGGTCCTAACACTTCATTGGCAAGCTCTTAAAATACTCTGCAGGTGCAATCTATTTGAAATCACCCAGACATGTACTAGTCTGCTTTTTTCCTAGGCAAGGCTGAATTCTAGTCACTGTTCTCAATTACAACACTCATGAGATTTCAGTGCTTCTTCTGGGTGAAGATTCACACACACAACAATTTTTACAGTTTTCCCCTTTCTCAGTATCAGCTATGACCAGCTTTTCCATTTCATCAAGTAACCAACAAGACCTTCTCTTGGGCTTCTGAAAACTATTGAGGTACTTAAGAAAAATCTCTATTATTCTTGGTAATTCTTGCTAATTTTATCTTACTCTATACTCAAGCTTTTCAGATTTTGTCTCTATACTCCCACTTTACAATTTTGTGCTGATCCTTAACAACCTGTGAGGCATTCAAAAGCTCAGGATGCAGCCAAAATGGTGCCTTACTACATTTCCTATCTTCTGCAATGAGAAACTGGCATTTTTGTCTGTAATAGCACCTCTTATACTTTTATCTTCCAGATTTTACTTACCGATTTCAAATTCATTGACAGTTGTCTTCCTGTAATCCATTGTTTCAACTTAATAAACTCATTTTCAAGGCTTTAACGCACGATTTTTGGCAGTTAATATGTAAGAACTCAGATACTGCTTGTTGTATCTCAAATAGCTTTGCAGTATGTTTTCATCACTCTTACAAATAAGGAAATTGAGGCACTTTACCTCTTATTCAGTGGGAGGAAACAATCACACAACTTTCTAGATTCCAACAGTTAGAGAAATTGCAGTGACTGGAAAGCTAAGCTAAACCTGTTATTCCTAGGTTCCTAGTTCTCTGTTCCAGCAACTTGGTATCAAAAAGTAGCATTTAAACTGTCATTCTATCTAAGATGTCAACACAGATTTCAGATGCAGATATTTTCCACGTAACTACAGGTGTTTCTCTAACCTTTCATTTTTTTTCTTGTAGTATTAGTTCTTTTTGCCAGGAAAGTAACTTGAAAGTTTTTCATAAGAACCATAAATCTGATTAACATTTAAAATTGGAATAAAATCACACATCTATCACCATTCAGTCCTTACATCATGTTGAAGCTGTGTTGCATCCTTAGAATGGCAAGACTGATGAACTGGTGTGACAATCAGATGATACCTCCTTCAACTTCTCCTCTGCCATGATCTTTACTTATATGATGAAACTGTAAGCACACACAAGACTAACTTGTAGGAAGGTAATCTTCCCTCATAACTGTGGTTTTGGCTGCTGTGCTTAAACTGAGAGGGGCTGGGAAATGTTTCTTGGCTCTAAGGTCTAGCATGTACCCTGGGAATATGAAGACAAGATGTATGTGTACAATAGTCCTCTTCTTCTTTGCTACTCTTCAAATAGAAAGGAAAGCTGGACACCTCAGCTGCAATGGACACTGACACTTCAGTGCAGTCGGCAAAGAGAATTCTGAATTTAACCATCCCAATGTGCCTCATGCATATCCTGACACAAAGCAGGCTTCCATCAGCTTTCTCTTAGCTGATTCTGGCAATCAAAAGATTAAGAGAGTCTGTATTTCACATCTTTCTCAGAAAGCCAAACTTAAAAAAGAAAACTTTGTGACTATAAACAGTCTGAACCTTATAGGAAATCAAGTAGTTTAAAAAAATAATAAATAATTTGAAAAATTTACTAAAAAGTCCTGAAGTTTGCTAAATGCCAAAACCAGAATTCTGCAGAATTCTTCCTGGAGGCTCAAGCCTAACTAAAAGTAAGGTTTTGATCCACCTCCAGTAATTCTTGAAATAGACAATAGTCCACTCTGAAGGCTACCTGAAATGAAAGGGTCTGAGAGTTATACTTCCTTCCTTCCTCAGTTTAAAAAACAATAAACCAACAGGTTATCTGATAAATACGTTATAATGAGCAAAACATAGCAGAATATGACTTCAAGTTTCTACATATTTTATACTAACCAATAAGAAGAAGGGTTCCAACAGCTACACCTCCACCTGGAAACAAAACAAAATGAAGAATAAAGTAAGACTACATTTTAATACTGTGCTAAAGAACAATTAAGTTTTCTTAGTTTGTAAGTCAAAGAAAGGTGATAACGGGGAATTTAAAAATATAAAAGTGAACAACATTTTAATTACCTTTGCAATACTTCCTACAACTCTCCATTATGAAATAATTATACATTACATCTAATTACATATTACACATTACAATTACTTTCACAATATACTGTACTGCCATCATTGTGGTAAAAAGATCCTGCAGAGCTCTACGCAACCATGTTCAAGTGCTACAATAATGATGTATGGTCTGAGCCAGCGAATTTTTACTTGGATGACTCAAGTGAGTAAACATCCTCCAAATTAAATCCCTGTTAATCACTACCAAGTGATACTCCTTTGTATGAAGGACTGTATATGTAAAGTGACCTACTAAGAGGCTAGCAAATTCCCACCCAAGCCAATCAGGCAAAATCCTGGCTCTGCTGGTTTTACCTTATTACTGAAAACAGACAATAAGACAGCTAGCATTTCACCCAATGAAACCTAGACTGACAGATCATAAACATCATAACACCATCTGAAAAAATATAATTCTATTAAAGCCTTCTATAGTAGATCTTGGACATAAAAACAACTCTATGAATACAGTTGATTGAAATACCTATTAAAAAATAAAAATACATTTTGACAGATTTATACATGGTCACTATTATTTTTCTTTCTTTTTACTTAAACAATTACAATCAATGCTTGTGTTTCAATCACAGATGACTGAATGAATAATAGACAGAACAGAATACTCCCAATATGTTTTGATACATAGATTCTTATCCCATTGATCTCAACAGTGTGGAGGACCAGAAAAAAAAAATAAATCTATGAACTCCCATCCTGACTGTTTTACTTCCTCCTTGAAGAGACAGCAAGCATAATCACCTAACAGTGGTTTAAACTGTTGTCCCAAGAAGGAATTTTAACAGACAGCAAAAGAAGAATTCATATTTTATTTTAAGTGAAGGGCAAACTGTTTTATAACCTGAATTCCAAGACTGAAAACAGTGGAATAACTTGAAATCAGATTACAAATATCTTGTTGCAAAGTGATACATAACTGTGACAGGAATGGTCAGAATTCCTGGAGGTGTTCAGATATGTAACCAGCCTACTGCGGTGTTCTGCATGAAGGAATCTGCAGTGTGCCTTCTGCAATTACACCCTGCTCTAAAAGCAAGTTAGAGGCAAACTGAATCCCATCAGCACAATATCCAAAGCTCCTGATAAGTCAATTCAGGACTCCACAGATGGACTCTAGTGAACACGATAATTCAGTCTGTCAATTTAAAAGCTCATTAAAATTCACTTGAAATTGATTCCAATAGGGATTGGACCAAATTCTTAATCTTTAGCTCTGCTGGTGGGACTACAAATGTCTGCAGCACCTGTAATATGTACCCACAAGGAAGAGAAAAGGCAGATTTCTTTCCCATAGGCCACAAAGTGCTAATATTGTTGCATAGTAACACCTGAATCAAAACTACAACAGAATCAATTTCTCATCATTTCATGATGCAGCACAATGTTAGTGGTACATCACAGTGCAAATGTTTAGTTAGCTACTAATTTCACAGCTGTAGTTCAGCACATCACAGATGCTTTAAGCTATGCTCCTGTGTCAAGATGCACAAATGTCTCAATATTTACAGCAAACTTGTAAAGTAATCAAGCATTTCCTATATATTTTTTAAAAAACAACTCCAATATTGTTTATCAGAAAGTCAGAATCACTCATGAAATTCCCATGCTCTAATCCATCAATTTTTGTTTCTTTTTATTTGTTTGGGAGATAAATGCATGTGAACCCAAAAGATGTACTATGGAGGAAAGGAGAAAAAAAGACCAAAATCAGAAGTAATATAGATGGTAGATACAAAGTATGCTTCAAATACTCACTGCATGCACTTGATCAGGGAGACAGAACACACAGGTGACTTACTAACAACAGTTGTTTAAAACCAGCACATGTTCTATACAGCACATACAAAAAATATCTCCAAATAATGAGATTTTACCAAATTGTAGCTTGACATAGAAAAGATGATCAAAGCAGCTATAAGTAATGTATCACCTCAAGGACTTAAAATCTCAGTTATAAAAAGCTCACTTGTTGCCACCATAGTGTCTCTTCTGCTTTTAACTTGGTTGCACAAGAGAGAATGTTTGTCATACAGTATGTCAGTGCAGTCAAAAGTCTCACAAGCTGTATTTTCAGATCATCACTTGTACCATCTCTTTCTACAAGCCAGAGTTGCAACATATGCACACATACTCTGGTTGCTAAAGGCAAACTCAGGTCAGAGGACTGGTTTCACATTATCAAATGTAATGAACAGTTTGAACAAGTGTATTCTATTAGATGGAATGTAAAACTATTGCAGTCACCATGCTTACATATTCATATGACAATGAGCAATAATGATAGTAAATTAAACAAAAAAACAAACAGGAAAATGTAGCAGGAACGTTGATAGACTCTAAATAAAGAGGTAAAATCTTCAAGTTTCCTAAGAAAACTGCTATGAACTTGTAATTCTTTCTTATTTTGCTATTTTATTTTTTCTTTGTCAATAACTAAGGCAGCACTACATGTAAACAACTAAGCAGGACTTGTAACTTTCCACATTGCTACCTACAGCAACGAGATTTAAGATGTTAAGGATAGAAACACAACAAACTTTACAAGCTGAGAAGTGTCCCAGATTATTTCAAAGCATATCTGTGACCTTTTCCAAGCAGCTTGAAACAAAACATGCAATACCAAACATATGATGGCTATACTACACAGCAGTTACAGCTCACTACAGAGAACTGCTTCAGCACTAATCAGGCATACACTGTCTATAAACGTGAAAGTAAACTTGAATATAAAGCCTGGAGATGTAACTTTATAGTTACAGTTTATAGTAACTTCCATTGGTAATTTATACCAAAACGTTTGTCTTCAATTGACACTTCTTGTGTCAGTAAAATGAAATATTTTGTACAATTCAACTGCTACTGAGGAAGATGAAAGAAAAAAACCAACTGCATTCTTTAACAAACACATAGACAGCATCCTGCAAGATACTTATGAAACATTTCCGCACACACCCAAAAAGGATATGAAGAAGACCAAGTACAATACTTCTATAGTCACCAGCATAATGGGCTGCAGGAACAGAAGCTCACTCAGCTGGTCAAGGGACTCAGGACTCATCAGATCACATCTGGAATAAAATGTCCAGCTTTGGGCCCCTCAGTACAAGAGCAAAGTAAAAATAAACTTAAGTGAGTCCACCCAAAGGGCTCTGAGATGGGGCAAATGACCCAAGAGGAGTGGCTGAAGGAACTGGGCATGTTTAACCTGGAGAAGAGAGGAAGATCTAATGTACCAACCTGCTGGTACCTAAGAGAAGCTACTGAGAAACCCGTTGAGCTCTTTCCTGAAGTGCACAGTGGGACGGCAAGAAACAACAGGCATAAACTGAAACAGGAAAAGTTCAAAGTGGATATAAGGAAAAAGGAAATTCCCAACAAAGATAATTAAGCATTGCACCAGGTTGTCCAGAGAGGCTGTGAAATCTCTGCCATTGCAGATTTTCAAGACTCCATTGGACAAAGCTCCGAGCAATCAAGTTTGAATTCAGTGATGAGCCTGCTTTAAGGTTGCAGTAGATGAATTCCTCAGGTCCCTCTCCAGCCTCCAAAATCAATGATTCTGTACATGTCTGCCTAGCTGGGTGGTCTGTCTCCAACAGCACCTAACACCTGGTATCAATGGAAATTTTATTATAGTACAGCATGTTTGGCTTTCCTAGTCAATCCACTCAGCCTCCAGAAACCAGTGATTTAAGGGCTAGGAGTTTAGCAAAGATTTAACACAGGAACAGAGAGTTTTCCAGTTTTTCAAAGAAGCCACAACCCCAAAAAATAATTTGAAAAGTATTATCAAACGTTGCTTTTCCTACAGTTGGAAGAACTTTCTTGATGTTCAAGTGTAAAACTTGTTAAGGTCAGGAAATTACTGAATATTTAAAAGACAAGAAAAGAGTACTTTAAAAGGGATCCTGAGTTTACTGGAAAAAGTGTCCCCAGTTTCTATAACAAACAACTAATTGTGTTAGCAAGTGCCTGGACATTTAGAAGACTGCCACTATGGGAGCTGTCTACATTTTCTGACCCATGCTGTGCAAAATACACTGTTTATAAAAGGGAATATGAAGAAGAACTGGAATATTTAATGCAAATCTTATATTCATGTAATCAAAGGTTTACATAAATTACATTAAATGAAACACTTCTCTCTTAAGGAGGAAGAGCTTTCTCCCCAAGGATGCCAATTACTGATGAAAATGCAGGTGTTCCCTACCAAGCAGACACACAAACACACACAAAAGATACAGAACTGTGATTCTTCTTAAGATACACAGGCTGTAGAAACTTCTTTAAAAAACAGACACAACTTTTATATTTCTCATTACTCATAAACAATATCCTTAGAAAGAAAAGTGATATATTCTTACATTCCTTGTAGTCCTCTGGGGCCTAATGAAGAAGCTAAAGTCAAGCCTTCGTCACCTAAAAGTAGTCCCATCTATGTACACTGAAGATGTACTGGAACTATATCAGTAGGTACTAAAAGAATCATGCAGCCCTAGTGCATACAGATAAAACATGCTGTTTATACCAGTGAAATGAATCAGTTCTGAATTCCAGTAAACAGTGCTAGTTCATGCCACAGATGATAACATAGCAATGGTCACAACAGATCAGTCCAAGGAACTATCTAGCATCTTGATACAGACAGTAGGCAAAAGCACATTCACAGATGGCATCACACCAGTGTAAGTTATCTCAATGGGACATTTATAAAGATGTAGCAGTGGCAAGTTAGACAGAAAAGACACGCTTAGAGTCTAGTCTTACAGTCAAATGCATCCTAAAAATTGCCACACTGAAGAACCAGAACTGCACCACGTTCAACCATGAGTTAATTCAGCAATAATGTTTTTCAAAACCAAAAACTTCAGACCCTTTACTATGACAGTCTGAAATACGACAGGAATGTGTTACTAAGTACATTTACAGAGTAGCTTTCCACTTTAGAAAGGCTGCTTAAAGGGTGCTAAATGAATGGTAAACAGCAATCTTCTCCCCAGGCAGGCTACAAAGCAGGGGCCTGTACCACCTCCCTTCTCCGCTGGGGAGGGGGCTTAAGGCGAGAAATGGATCCTGTTTTGTCCCTTCCTCTTCCCCCCTCACCCTCCCTCCAATCCCGAGAACTGTGGGGAAGGAGGAAAAGCCTGCGGGAGTATACGTGGGGTCATGGAAGGTAAGTGACAGGCAGGGTCTGGCCAAGGAGGAGGCCGCCGGGCGGAAAGGGGTGGCGATAAGAGGGGCAGCAGCCGGGTCCCAGGTCCCGCTCCCCACCAACCTAGCACACAGTCCAAGGAGGGGAGCCCGCTGGAGAGCAGCAGCTGCCCGTGGCGAACGGAAGGCCGAGTGCCCGCAACGGCGGCCAGGCGGCTGCTGGCCGCAGCCTTCCGCTGGAAGCTGGTGGCCCCGCGGCCCCGCACAGCACTGCCGGCCGCCGGGGACGCCGCCATCTCGGTTTCTATCAGTGACAGGAGCGAAGGGACGCCGGGAAGAATCAAGCCTTCTCCTCTTCACCAATGAGAGAGCGGCATGGGACACGCACTATCCAATAGGAGACCGCATTGTTTGCACGTCCAGGGCTAAAGGGGCGGGGAAGGGTTGGAGGTCTCTGGTAGAGAGGAGACAGGTGAGTGTGGCTGAGCCGGTCTTGAGGGTGTGGGGGTCCCGCTTTGACAGGGGTCCTGAAGCTCAGGCTGGGGCTAAGGCTAAGGCGGGCCGGTAGTGGGAGGTGGTGCTGCAGGGCTGGGGTGAGAAGACAGGGGTAGTGCAGTGCCGGTGACGCGGCGTCGCCGGTCGTGCTGCGAAGGGGAAAAGTCCGCTTTCTTCTCTCGGAGTCGGGACGCCTGAGGCGTCAGTCAGGCTGGAAGCGGAGGGAGCCGCGAAGGAAGCGGCTCCCCCGGGCCCCTTGCGCGCCGAGTTATCTCGCCAGTCTCCGCGCTGCCCCGTCGGCATCGCCCTCTTCAAAAAGAGCTGTTCTTGTGGGCGAGCCTGGACGTGAATAGGACAGAAAAAGTAGTTGTGAAACGTTCGTTTTATAGCGGTACTTACGTAACTGTATGTAACGTATATAAGTATGTTTGGGGTCCCTCTCTTGTTTGTAAATAGCGGCGGTTCTGTAATAAACGGATGATTTTAGACCTCCTACTTAAAAGTAAGATTTTTGGTCAATATGATGGCTCTGGGCCACACCATAAGCTAAGAGCTATAGTAGAAAGCTGCTTTATGTCAGAAATGTAAATTCTATGTTTCATTAGCAGTTATTGTTGAATCAGTTGCTAACAGTTATTTTGTGTATTTTGTAAGCTTAGTATGTCCTTTACTCCTTATTAGCAATTAATGGATAGTAGCCCAAGGTGTTGTACATGGCAGCAAACAACTTGCCTAAACTGAATGTATGTAAAAATTGGTGATGTATCAGAATTTGGTATTTCCTTTTCTGTTCTTGTTTCATATGAACACATTAAAATGCTTTTTATCTTAATGAAAAAATTTAGTATGCTTGCTTTGTAAATCAACACTTCATGTAACAGTAATCTGAATTTATGATAAATCCCTGTGAGCATATAGAAGAGCTACCATCGCAAGTATTTGTGTATTTGTTTTTAATCTAATGGTGTTGCAGATGCATCACAAGCTACTTAAAGACATTTGCACATAGCAGGATTTACTAATGAGGCTCTGATGATATAATTACCCACTTTAATTTCCATGATTACTTTTGTTATTGCTATAAACCATGGATTTTGAACACCAGTGGTTGAGCATTTTTTTTAATCAAGGAAAAAAATTCTTGTGTTGATATTTCATGCTGTTCACATTTAGCAATATGTTAACAATCCTGAAGCTCCAAGTTTTTCTTCCATAGCAAATTCAAACTAAGGAGCATGAAGTTTCACTATTAAGTCTTCCTCGCTGGTGGAATTGCATTAGTTTTGCTACTGGCCAAGCTCCTTTACGTGTTAAGGAGTGGACTGTTTAAGATCTTAATCTTTGTTAAGTTACCACTGTATAGTTTGTCTCAGTGATTTCCTCCCCCATTCTAAATAGTACACTTTTGTTACTTTAATGAGACACAGTATTTGCTTGCTTGTTTTTAAGTAAAACAACTAATATAAGTTGCATTAATAGGTGTAAATATACATCCAGGGCTGAGCCCTCTCTTTTTCTCATTGGTACAGGTGGCTTTTATAGTTTTTATTATCTCATTTTCCTACAGGACAATTTATGCTAGGGGCTATTTTTCTTTTGTTTTGGAGCCTGGATTCTGAAATTTTGTTATTGGGAATACTTGTGCTGTGGTCCTACTACTTCTAGAATTTGTTGTGTAAAGTGCAAGTTTACTGGAAATAGCAGTCTCCTGAGCTGATCTAATGGGTCAGCATTGCTGAAAGAGGAAGTGTTTCCTTTTCCTCTTCTGCTTCCAGTGATTCAGCCCAACAAACCCTGGTGCTTGTCAGACCCTTTCTTGAGCTGATTCAGCTCACTGATGTGACTTGGAACTATCCATCCACTTTCTAATTAGGTTAATTTTGTGTTATGTCGCTGAGTTGATGCAATAAGGAAAAAAAGACACATACATACAGTGAGGAGGGGCCAATTCAGCCTTCTGCCTTTTGCTGACTGTGAACTGTTAATTCACCTCACCCTGTGAACCTCACAACTATCTCAGAATTTCATGTATCTTTAAATAAAGTGATATTTTTGTTATAAATTTTGTAAGCTAACATCCTGTAAAACAGAGAAACTGTCTCTTACACTATAACTTATGACAGGTGATACTGTTTCAGGTATTACAAAAATATAGAGAAGTAGAAATAATTTTTCAGTATAAGATAGGAATTTTAAAAAGTATTGCAGTAGTTCTATTTGTGATGTTTGTTTTTCTGCTGACTTTACCTTCATTTCATTGAGAATAGAGAAGAAACTAGTTTTATGGAGTTTTCTCTAGTTTTAGACAGTTGTGTTTTCATTTTTAGAATCAATAACAACTTTTTCACTATCTTTGAATGATACTGAAGTTTTACTTATATTCTCCTGTTCACTTCACGAAAGATGAATTTCAAGCCATTGTAAAAGAACCCACTAGGGGCTGTCTGGCAGAAAGGAAGACCACAGGAACTCGTTTTCAAAACCCCTCAGCCTCAAATACACAGTAGTAGGTGGTTAAGTTCTACTGCTCCTGCTCTCAGAATGGAATTGAAATATACAGAAACTAAAGCATATGGAGATGCAAGTGATCAGGAAACATCGTTGCAAGTTACTTCCTGTCAGCTGAGCTATGGCAACTGACTATGGTCATAATCAGCTCATTGCAGAATGGAGAAATTTAAGCCTTTGTGTCTAGATTGCGGTGTCTTGAACTGTAGAATAATCAACTTTTTTCAGTGCTTACATATTATCATGTAGACCTGATCAAATGTTTGTCAGTTTTAACTACAAATCCTAACTCTAGCATGAAGAAATCAAGCTTTATTTTTCATTTCTTAAAAAACTTCCTGATCCAGTTCAACTATTTGCCTGTGCCAAGTGCAGACCCTTAAGATAGATTAAGGGGATTTTAGGTGTAAATTCCCTAAGGAAAAAAAATGGAGGCAATACAATGGATGAGTGAGAAAGCAATCAAAACATTTGGGAAAAGGTGTGCTTGGAATTTGATCTGCAAGTATGTTTGTCATTTCTCTTCAAAAGCTGTAGCCTATAGATTTGGTGAAAATCGTAATGTCCCCAAGTTCTTAAAGTGTGCTTTAAATATTTGTACTTTAGAAGAGGAAACTCACTTCTTGTGGCTGTCATTGCCTCTGTTTCCTGCATGCAGCCTACATGAGTTGCAGATGTAAACTCTTTGGACCTTCAGTTAATGTAAGCCGAGGCTGTATTCTTTGAGCAGTGTTTCTCAACAAGATGATGTTATTGATGTGCATATTTTATTTTCCTTTATTTCAAATTAGTGTTTTTGCTGTGTTTTAATTGTGCCTTGGAAGATTCAGTATATGCTCTTGTCTATTGGTAATGAGTAAATACTCTCCATTGGAATAAAACACATGAGCATGAGTGTGTTTTGTTTCAAAATGCAATGTCTCCTTGGTGGGCTGTCAGTAATACTTTTGTTGGGTTTACGCATGGGATAGAGAACTGCATCCTAGTGGCAGTTCTAATTCTTAATCTTATTAACATTTGCTGTTACATCGCCAAGTGGCTTCCCTCATCAATTCTGGAATGTGATGGTTTTACTGTACTGATTAAAGTTTTATGGTCACCAAATCAGATTAGCTGTCAAGTCACCTGACTAGGTAGGGCTCACAGTCATGTGATCCAGAGCCCTGCTGAGCTCCTGCTGGTAGCTGAAACAAGGTAGTTTGCTTTTGAGATGTTCTTAAGTATCTAACAGCATGGGTCGTGGATTGTGGCTGCAAATAAGATGGCTTCACTTTCCTGATCTTTGAACTAGCTCGAATGGGATAAGTTTGGAAGTGCAGGATCTTCAGGCCATGAGCTAACAGCAGGCTGTTGTTCCAGTTTAATCCTGGAAGTTCTGACACAGAAAGACCTGTTCTGGTTTGGGTTTTTTTCAAAACTTAAAGGCTACTTATCCAATCAGTCCGTGGAAAACACGAGGATTAGTGAGAGGGTTTGAGATGTACCAGTTGTATGATATTATATAAAACATGATATGATTTTCTTCAGAAAGTCTCTGGATGTTACCTAAATGCATCCCTGTGGGTATACTGAACAACAGCAATAAAAATTTATGTCAAATTTAAGCAGGTATTTTAAAATACAAGTAAGTAAGTTAGGAGACTAGAGTTAAAGTGTTATGTGATTAAGACAGTCATTTAATAAAGAATTAAGTTATTTATTTTTTCTGTAATTTCAGGTTATAAAAATGTATAGTATGACAGAGACTTGAAAGAACAGTAATATTGAAAATGAGTTGTATGTTTAATGTTCTAAGTGTCATACAGGCTCATGGTATACTTCATAGAGATTATTTTCCTTCTGTCTATCATACAAAGAGGAATTCTCATTTAAAAAAACCAAACTTGTAAGATAGGGCTAAAAGCAATGAGAAAAAAGCAACTCACCAATAATGAGAAAAGGAGTATTATTTATATTATGGCTTTTGATATTCTGCAGTGTTTTCCATACTAGGTTCCATGTTCATATAAAGCTTATTTCAGGACTAAAAACTAGAAATTAAGACAGATTTATTCTAGCCTTTTCAGATTCTTAACATCTAGAAATCAATTTCACATTGAATACAAATGGCTGCCTTCAAAGAATAAAACTATTTGTCACTTCAGCATGTCAGTGGAAGAGGTGAAGAGTAATCTTTGTTTCAACTGGAAAAACATAATTTAAAAGCTTTGATATTTTGAGTCTTCATTTTTGTCTTCCTGCTGTATCTGATTGGACATATTTCATTAAATAGGCACTTCTAAAGCCAGGTAAA